AAGTAAATTCAAATTAAATTAAATCAAATATTATAAAAAATAGAAAATAAAGCAATAACAAAAAATTTAATAAAAAAAAAACAATAATAGGGAGTATAAATTAAATTTCGGTAAACGTTTTAGGGCCAAACTCACAGGGCGTAGTTAACTCAGAATCGGCAGTTAACTACAGATTTTCAGTACAAAAATTGTGAGTTAACTACGCACTGTGAATTTGGCCCTTAATCGCACCAGTTAATCAACACCAGAAATCATATTTAAACAATAAACCGCTACCGCATGAAAATAGGTGGCTGTTTAAATTAGGTAAAACAACAACTAAAATTTTAAATACAAAACTTTCATTAGAAAAGTTATAATCATCTATGTACTCGTACATATACATAAACCACATGTCGTAACCAAATACTTAACAGTAATAAAAGCAAAAGCCTTTTCAATTGCGAAACGATAGTGAAATACAACCAAACACCCAAGAACTGATACGCAAAAGAAAGGTGGAATAAGTACAGAAAAAGTACAAAAGTACGCAACGCAACCAAAAGAAGAGCAAGTGTTTGAATAACGAAGAGAAAAATGTACGAAACAAGTAGGTATTTAGGAGACTACATATCGACTGCAGAGTGTAAGATCGACCTATCTCGGCAGCCAGTTCGAAAACCCCCTATTTCAGAAAACTTTTCAAGAACGTTCTATTTCAGAACTCGTTTCAAAAACACCATACCTCAGGACATTTTCAATACATTTCGAAGCGATATTGGGCGCTCTTCAACCAAATTTTGAGATAGGTTGTTGTTCAATAAAATTCTGAAATAGGGCGTTCTTGAAAGTTTTTTTTAAGTTAGGGCGTTTTCGAACTGGCTGCCAAGATAGGTAGATCTTCCACTCAGAAGTCGATATAGTATTCTTAACAAAAAAATTTGAAATTCTGTTGATTTTTATAATTCTCTTACTGCATGAAGCCTCATCGGAGCCATCGGAGCAATCTTTGCTCTGATCACACATCCAAGCTAATGGAATGCATTCACCCTCGCCGGATTTACATGAATACTCATCGGGTGAACAGGTTTTTGTTTCTGCAAAAGAAAAGTAAAGGAGTGATAAAAATATGATACATGATATTAATTTTGTTTGGAAAAGCGGTAGATGTGTAAAGCTGTAGTTTTGGTCGTGAATTTGTTTGAAACAAGGTGACGCTATAGTTTTTACGATGTCTCAAGTGGTGTTTGTGTGCTAGAATTTGAAGGCAGTTTCTTTTTTCTAAAGTTTACCTAATAACTAGATATTTTTAAACGAAACTTAAGGTATTTGCATCCGTTAATAAAAAAAAATTGCGTTAGTGAATTTGGACATCTTCTTTATATTCTTAAGTTTTTCCCGACAGAGAAGGATTATGCTGATGAATTTACATCAAGCTCAAGATGGCAACCCTATAGGAAATATTTTGGAAATTTAGCTTTGAGATTTTTTTTATAATAAAAGCAGTTTAATTTGAAACTTTTTCGTTTATCAGCATATTGCAGTATTTAATTTATTTTATAACTGAAGCTGAATTCAACATTTCTCTTTAAATGTAGCTTTACCTTTCATTACTATCATACTGTCTCACAGACTGAAAACATTCTTAAAGCTTTCTGTACAACAGAGTTCAGTTTTTTGAGCTGTTTTCTTTGTATATATTTTGGTTGATTAGTGATCTTGTTGATGCCGGTCGCTGCTATTTTGTGTTTTATTCCTTTTTCGGTCTTTGAGGCCAATGTTAGTATAGGGTTTGAGTGCGGAAGGTTCCTGTGTTTGAAGCAAAGTTGTCTATTTCAAGCCGAGAATGCAGACCAATTATTCATATAAATATAAAAAATTTATTTTATGGACTTATTTAAAAATTAATTACTTTACTCGAATTTTTGTTAACGTGTTATTTTAAATAGTATTACATGAAATTTTGCTATTTGGTTTAGTTATGTTTATTTTACTAGATATTGATTAAAATAACAACTGGGAATGAGAATTAAATATTCAATCCAAATACATGTATTTAATGTGAAGAAATTAACACTCTCTACACTTCGGTCTGAGGAAGCGATGTTGGTAACCGTGTTGTAAAATTCATGTTAGTAACGGAAGCTTAAGAACCCTGCTTACTTAAAACTCTTCCGTTTGATAGCGGAATCGTAATATTTCACGTGACTTATATATAAATTAAATAGAATAAAAATTTTTGCAGCTTCCTTAAAAATATTTTGAAAATAAAGTTAGAGCTGAAAGAACAGCGAGTAAGTAATTGTTTAATAATTGTTTCTTAATTATTTTTCTTGTTTCGTTTGCATAAAAAATGTACCCTAATTACGCACTTTGTGTGTTATGCACCCAGAAAAGTCATAACACTACTAATATAATGGGTGTATTACACCCAATCACTTTTTAAACCCGCTTTTATGAAAACATTGGCTTTTCGTATAATACATTTATATACCCTAAGACATTCAGAAATATGTAAATGAGGATTACGTCTAAACTTTTTGACGATTGTTCTTAAAACATTTACATTATATAAGAAATTGAACTTACTGGCTGCTTTACACCCTGACAAACAGAAATATCCTACATATATGTATGTTAGTGCAGGTTAGCTGCGTGTAAAATGTGTATCCAATTCAGTTTTAGCGTGAATAATTAATAAACATATTCATTCACTCTCTCACTAAATCACCCACTCACTCACTTATTGACTCTTTCAGTCACTCATTATTTCAATCACACACTCATTGGTTTAATCATAAACTTATTCACTCCCTTTCTCATTTTTCTATTCACTCATTTGTGCAATCACACACTCATCCATCTACTTCTCCCTTTCTTACTCACTCACTCACACTCTATCATTCACTCACATGTATAATATTAATAAGATTTTGCAATCATATTGCAATATTGAACTTAGTTTATAATTGCCTTACATTAATTTGAATTTTTTTGTGGCAACCATATTTTTTTCTCACCTTTGATACTTTTAGTACCCGCCTTTCAGTTTTGGTTTAATAAATTGTAAAAAAATTATAAAAATTGCAACATTTTGTTTATGTACCACATAATAACGCATTTTCGGCTGCCCCCAGCAACAGACTTTCTCACCCACAAATATCTAAACCTTTTTAAATTGTTTCTGCGTTAATTCACAAATTCTTTCTAGCGGAGGAAAATAGCTAATTTTTCAGCGCGCTGTTACCAAAGCATTCACACATACAACATATAGAAACATATCGTCGTTTAAAGTACAAAACCGCATATCAACAAAATGAAATACCCTACATATGTGAGGTTGAATAAATTATTTTCTAGAAAGTAAAAACACTCATATTTCAAAATGTTTCTCTTTTTTATAAAGCAATCGCGTTTCTGGCTGGTATTTATATTTCAGGACGAATGGGTAAGGATTGAGCCAAGAGCTTGTGTGAGCAAATCCAATTTTTGGCAGCAAATATCAGCTATGCAGTTTTCCAGAATGACGATACGCGGTTTTGTACTTTAAACAACGACGATATGTATACTTGTATGTATGTATACAAAATTCAACATAGCCATACTCATTAATGTTAGTTATATATGTACGTTATTCGGCCCCTCACATTGCCACTCAATTTGCAATAATCATTTATTTATTTGTACTTGATTATTTGCGTTCGTTGTAATTGCTTGCGCTAAGTGTAGGTATTTATGTACACATCATTTGTATTCACACAGACATATGACTACTTTTGGCAGTACGTATACTTACACATAAACATTGCTCACATGCAATTAAGTGCTAATTTGAAGTTTCATTTATGCTGTAAATTTTACCAAAAATTCCTTGACTTGAAATAGAAGGGTGATGTTAGTAGTCAAAAGTAGAGTTTCTCATTAGGCGAATGCAGGGATGCAAACAAGTA